CGGCAGACAACGAAAATTCAACAGATTAAAATTCACTGTTTCAAAAAATTATCAAATTATCAGAGATCGTAGAAAACAACATTTCAAGACTATCATTGTACTGAAGCAATTATTTTCAACATCCAGATAATTTCATATTCGAAGAAAACTCTGCAGAATTCAAAATACTCGGTGAAAATCTTCCAGAAAATACTCAAAACGTGCAAAATTATAATTTCTATAACATACCAAAAATTACATGGTAAAAGTTTTACCGGTACGAAATTATACTAGATTTTCGCTAACATAAACAAAAATTTAAATAAGAAATCCATTAAAATCCACATTTCTGAAAATTGAGAAAGGCATAATGTGTCTTACCTCGAGTCGTTCAACTTTCCCAACTACGGCAACGGACGAAAATGGACCGAAGACGCCCAAAATGCGGTTTTCTTCCTCTTTCTTTCATTTTCTCTCTCCTACACTTCCTCTCTCTTCAAAAATATCTCAAAACATCTATTTAATGAACTCGATCATCCAGACGATGCTCTCCATTCATCCCGGGACGAAGCTCTCTGGACACGAGCGTACAAACGATAATTAATTTCATCCCTGGACGATGCTCTCGGGAAATATTTTGTTCAGCTCGTCTCGGACGAACTCAGGTTTGTCCAGACGAACCTGCATTTTACTCAGTTCGTACTGGCAGTTCGTTTGTACTACCATACAGATTTTAAACATTTTCTTTAGTTCGTCCAGACGGTTCGTCCATACTAACAGCACAAAAAAAAAATCCAAACATAAATTGAAAATTTAAGGGTTTCACACCTCTTCCATGTAAAATCACGAGTAGCTCGCTCTCCGAACAAATATAAGATGAACCATTGATTATTTGCTCGTGAATACTTTCATTTTGTGGCTCAAAAACACTAATTAGATATGTTCATGAACTAGCTCATTTGATAGCTCAAGAATACTAATTAGATATGTTCATGAACAAACTCATTTATAGCTCCATAAGACTCATTTGTTTAAAGACCAATAAGCCTAAAATGAATTGAACATAAACCAAATATAAACACACTTTAATTTAAACAAATTAAGCTAGAACACAACAAAAAAACTTGAATCAAACTTGAACTTTGAACAATCTGTTAATAAACGAACTCAAACATAAAAATGCACATACTCGACTCGGCTCTGTTTTTTTGTTGTTAGAGGCAGAAGCAAGTTTCGTTCAAGGGAGGAAATTGCCCCCCTTAAAAATAATAATTATAAGTAAAGGCATTTAAGTAATTGGCCCCCTCTAAACTTTTACTTTTACCCTTTTTCTGCCCTAACAACCCACTCACAGCTCACATTCATGTTCTCTCTTCTTCGCGAATCACACGCATCCCTCTTCCCTCTTCTTCGTGCAGCAGCTAGCAAGAAGGAATCACGAATCTCGTGAGCTCAGAGCTCCCCTCCAAGTGCAAGCGTGAGTCTTTCTTCTTTATTATTTCATATTTTTATTACTTCTCTTAAGTTTCATATTTTTATTCAGATTAGTGAGCTTTCTCTTCCTTATATCAAAGGATTCATTATTGATCTTTTTTTGTTCCTCTCTCTCTCTCTCTCTCTCTCTCTCTCTCTCTCTCTCTCTCTGTTTTACTCATATTTTTTTTGTTATGCCTTTTGAAGGCCTTTTAAGAGCATGCTATTAGAATATCAATGTAGTTTTTTTCCTTTTTAAGGCCTTAAAACTTAGCAAGCAAGTCTATATGAGATGCATATTCACATTCTCCATATTCAATACGCATATTTGTTTCCAACGACTCCACAAATTATAATATAGAATAAAAACTTTATAACAATATTAAATAAATTTTTTTCACAGACATTAAAAACAATTAATTCCATTAAACAACATTAAACAAATGCTTTGAATGGAAGATAAACAAATTAACTTATCATGGTTATGTATATAACTGACATTATAGAATATATAAAATTAATCAATGGTGTTAAATATAAATTGAAATAGATTTTTTTTTTTTTTTTTGCATTCCAATGATAAATAGTAAAATAATATAAGTAAATAAAGAGATCAAAAAAATTTTGATGATAAAATCAGTGATATGATTTTCCCTGAAATTTAACATATGGATCTTTTTTTGTTAAGTTTAATATTTAAAATGCTACTAGATTTGTTATATACTTAATGTTCAATTTTGTCCAAAAAATCTTTCTAGACTTAATAGATGGAACATTATTTAAAGAGGAAATAACATGTAGAGAGATCAACTTGACTGGTCTGTTGGCTGATCCTTGACCTCGGCCTTAAATATGGAGTTATGATGTGAATGATATGGATAAAATTTGAAGAACTTATCTTTTGAAGGGACCCCATCAACCGAGAAGTCATCAATTTTCTTAAATATTAATCGGCAATATTGCACACATATTTAATCCTAAATGATTTGAAGAATATACTTATTAATTAGAGTACAACATACAAAAAGATGTTATTTTATGTCTTTACTTCTACATATTCAAGCCTTAAGAACAAAATAGGAAGGGCCAAGCTATGGAGACTCATTTGTTGGAGAATGATTAAAAAATCATAAGAATAAAAAAAACACTACTTGATCATGTTGGAGAGCATAGTGGTGAGCATAACAAGGTAAGACAAAATTGTGAAGATTTATTGAAGAATCAAGAATACAAACTCCCTACATTATGGCTGAGCAAAGAGAAGAAGAACAAAAAAGATTATATGGTCATGTTAAGTCCTATAATAGATTATGTTTAATTTCTATTACATCAAGGATTATCATTTTGTGGGTATGACGAGTCTTCTAGGGTCAATGAATCGAGATAATTATTTTGAGCTTTCTTGGTTTCTTTGTAAATCATAATGATGAAATTAAATTGGTTATGTCTATATATGCAAGCTCTAACATAAAGTTAACATCACCAAAAATCTAGAAAGAAATTTGTTCTGATATTGTTGCTAAAACTTTGACACATATTATGAATGAAATTGGTAACTCTTATTTTTTAATCATAATTGATGAATCTAAAGATGTTTCTATAAAAGAATAACTTGTTGTTGTAGTGAGATATATAGATAAGTTGGGGCAAGTTATTGAAAGGTTTGCATGCATTATACATGTTTCTTCAGCTCATGTGGTTACCTTGAAGATAACCATTGAAAACATACTTATGAAACACTCATTGAGCATTCATAGAGTCAGTGGTCAGGATTTTAATGGAAAATCCAATATGTGAGTAAAATTTAATAGTTTGAATGCACTTATTCTTCATTATAATCCTCAAGTATTTTATGTTCATTGTTTTACCCATTAACTTTAACTATGCTTGGTAGTGGTATCAAAGAATCATTTCTAAGTAAAACATCTATTTGAGTTTACTTTTAAAATTATAAATACTATTAGGACTTCTTATAAGGGATCAAATGCTCTAAAAGCTATTTAGCATGATAAAATACTTCAACATCTTAAAAAGGGCAATCTCCTAAGCAACCATGGTTTAACTTAATAGAGTAATTTACAAAGATATTGTAAAACTTGATATAGTTCACATTTTTATTCTTTAATTAGTCTTATAAAAATGTATGCTTATGTAATTGGAGTACTTGAGATTGTTAAAGAAGAAGGGGTAAATTATCAAAAGTCGGTTGAAGTAGGTGTTCTGATTGATATAATGAAATATTTTGATTTTATTTTTCAATGCATTTGATAATTGATATTTTGATGATTACACATAAGTTATCACATTCATTACAAAGAAAAGATCAAGATATATAAAATGCAATGAATTTGGTGGAAAATATCCTAACAATGACTATATATTCTAAGGGAGAATGGATGGATTGTTTTATTAGAGGAAATACCAAATTTTTAATAGTGCTTGCAAAGTTGAAGTTTCAAATATGAATGATACATACAAAACTCGTCATTGATCAATACAAATATGTGAAAAAATATCAAAACTACATCATTATTGTGTTGATATGTTCTACACTATGGTTGAGATGTAACTTTAAGAGTTAAATAATTATTTTCTGAATATAGTTATGAGTTACTTCTTTGTTTGACATGCTTAAATCCAACGGATTCCTTCAATACTTATAATGAGAGGAAATCGATACGTCTAGAAAAATTACATCGAGATGATTTTTCTTCCATTGACCTTGTGGCTCTTAAAAGTCAATTGTCAACTTTTATAATCGATATGGGTACTAAAGATGAGTTCTCCTCCATAAATAGTATCGTTGATCTTATAAAGCAAATCATTAAGGTCAAGAAGGATCGTGTGTATCCTCTGGTTTATAAATTTATTAATTTAGCATTAATTTTATCGGTTGTTATTTCTACAGTGGAAATAACATTTTATGTAATGAGGATTGTTAAAAATCAATTATGTAGTATGATAAGTGATGATTGACTCACTGATTGTCCGATACCTCACATTAAAAAAGATATGTTCGATTTAATTCCTAATGAGATTATAATGCAATATTATCAAAAGATATAAAATAGAATAATAATCTTGTAATAATTTTCAACTTATCAATTATAATGTAATACAAGATTTTGTTTTGAATTATGTTATTATTTTATTTTATTTTTTAAATATTGATCAGTTATATAAAAATTTTATCCCCTAAATGAATGGCTAATTCCGCTCCTGTTGGGAGACCGAGATATTTGTCATCCTTATCATGATCATTATTAGTACATTTTAATTTCCTTGAAATTTAATTAATGCTAAAAATTATTTTTGTATTGCTCCTCACAAAATTAAAATTTATAATTGATATAGTAATGACAAGGTTCGAATCGTAAGATGACTTCTAATTTTTCATTATTCATATATTATCCTAAAATACTGAGATTAAAATAATAAACATAACAATTAGATAAAAAAACATTTTTTTTTCGAAAAAAAAAATGTTTAAAATAAATATAAATTTCCTAGACAATTCTTTAAAAAACAGCGAAAGAAAATCACACCACACTATCTCTCATTATCAGCACATTAAAGAAGGCAGAGGCAAAGCAGCTCATCTTGCCTCAACTTAGTCGCCGCTTCTTTACTTTTCTCTCCACCTCCACCTCCACCTCCACCTCCACTAAAAATAAAGTCGGCAGTTTTTTTCAGGTGCTTTAATGGGGAATTGTCAGGTAACTGACGCTGCGGCCGTCGTTATCCAGCATCCGGACGGCCGCGTTGAGCGACTCTACTGGCCGACGAGTGCCGGCGAGATCATGCGAAGCAATCCCGGCCACTATGTAACCTTAGTCACCTACTATATTTCCCGCGGAAACTCTGAGACTTCAAATACTGCTTCCTTACCCATCGCCGCAGGCGAAACCGTCCGGCTAACTCGCATAAGGCTTCTCAGGCAAAAGGATATACTCCTCGTCGGCCAAGTTTACCGACTTGTTACTTCCCAAGGTTTGCTGTCTTAAGCTTTACGCCTTCCAATCAAATCTTGCAATAATCATGAAGGGGAGATCAGATTAAAACTGATTTCCCTGAAATTTTTGCCCCTAAAATCAAGTTATGCATTTGTCTACATTATTATAACGGTTGTGAAATCTCTAAGAAAACAGAATAAGAGTTAGAGATTCATAAAAGCTGGAATAAAAGGTTAAATTTACGGCTGAAGATATTTTGCGTGTTTATAAAGGCTTTAAGAACGAGAAATCGTCTAAGTCATGAGATGCTATTTATTTCATAAATTTTAAAATTAAAGAGATATAGCCGGTTGTTACAATTAGTTTGGTGTTCTTGCCTGTTGTGATGGATTATCTGTATTTTAGAGGTGACAAAAGCGCTTAACGCCAGGAAACAAGAAAGGATGAGGAAGGATCAAGCAGAGCTGATCAAGCAACAGGAACAACAGCAGAAGCAGAGACAAAGGCTTCAACATAGTACAAATGTTGAGGAGGGAGTGACTCAGGTAGTGGATCTTATTTTTCTAGTATTATGATTCGACAGGGGAAGAAATTATTACTACCTACCATACAGTAATTTTGCATGTGAAGAATGCGTGTAGTCCATTTGTTTCAGTATAATGTTATATATTGTTGAGTGCTCTGTGTATTTCAAAAAAAAAAGAAAAAAAAAAAGAAAGAGTTTATTGTTAGTACATAGTTGAATTCAGTGCACAGCTGATACGTAGCTGTTTACTTCGTATACAATGAGTACATAACTATCTATTCACGTTATTCGCCTATAGAGCTATTTATATTTTTCGCACCTAATAATTTCTCAAGAGAAGAGGCATATAATGGCTGGAATGTTTCAGGTGGAGAAGAATGAGAGGGAGAAGCAGAGGAGTACTAGGTATTGGCGACCATCGCTGCAGAGTATCTCAGAGATTGGAAGCTGATATATGGCCGTCGTTCTGGAGAGTTCATCAAAGGGATTCTACTGAATTTGTTTTCAAAATGATGAAAGAGCTCATGCGGGCAGTGCTCAGAATATTTTATGAAGGATTATAGGTTGAGGAATGCTACTAGAAATGGAAAGATCTGCAGAACAATGCATTAAGGCTGACTGAAGGGGAGAAATAGATTTCACTAGCATAAAACTGTAGCCTTTTTTCTGCACTGTAAAAGTTCTATCTGACTTCATCATTATTAAGGTTGAGGCTATCTAAAATGGTTGGTGTGTATGTTCGATTGTGCTCTGCTTGATAATTACTTCGTGTTCTATTAGATTTTATAAATCTTTTAATTTTATGAGTTACATACAAATAAAATTTTGTTCGACTTAACGGTAGCCGGATTGTGTTCTTATATACATATAAATATAAATATATATACATGTGTGAATATATACTTAATTATTTTTATATGTATATATATGTATACATTGTGTATATGCTCGGATAAACAATTTTTGACATGTATATGACTTTTATGTATGAAAATTTTAGATCTCTTAAGGGGTCAAGCTCAAGTAAGGTCATCTCCAAATAAAATATATTTTTTACTTCAAAATATAATAACATTCTAAACTACAATAACTCATCTTCAACGAAATTCTATTTGTTAGCGCCAAAATAGAAATTTTTATGCATATTTTATCTTATATTTTTTAATACCCAACATTTTGATTTAAAATAATATAAAAAAAATGATTGGCTTCGCATTGTTCACTTTGCGATATTAGCAAGAGATTTGGAGTTCGGTTGGAAGAGTGGCCCGACTACATACGTGCATTAAGCACTCAGTTGGAGATGCCTAAGCTCAGACTCCTTTACGGCCTTTTAAGGCAGCTAGCCTTGTGTTTCAAGGTAGAAATTCCGACAAATGCTACTAAATGGATAGAGCAATTAACATGATAGTTAAACTTGAAAAAATATATAATTTATTTTGGTCTATTGGTTTAAAGCTTTGGCTATCAATTAAAAGGTTCAGCTGGCTTTTTCAGCAGTTCCACCTCTCTGCTCTCTTATGTTCCTCCTCTCTCCCGCCCATTTCATGGGTTTTTCGTGAGTTTTTATTGTGATTTTGCTTGGATTTTCTTTCATTCTCTAGTTACCTTCTTTTCCACTTTGTTTTTTTGCGATCTTGCATGGCCTTTCTCACGGCATCCGTCTTTAGGTGCAGCGATCTTGGCTTTCTTGCTTGTAAGAACTCTTCTAAATCTTTCAAAGAGGTGTTAGTTAGTTCTGATTCTTCTGTGGAATTTTCAAATATGAAAGTGACTACGCTTAGAGGATTTTCGGCGTCATGGATCTCTGAGGTGGAAGTTTTGCATCTTGCTAAGCCATTTTATTATGTTTTAGTTGGGAAGTTTCCACTTCGTCGGCCAATTCTAGAGTCTATTTTTTTTAATCTAGAACTATCAGGTGATTCTTCTATCACTCTTTTGAATTAGAAGAATGTTCTGATCAAGATTGCTAACGATCTTGATTATGGTAGGGTATTTGCGTGTGTTTTATGAAGTCGATAAAATGAACCCCTTTTCTTGATTTATCGGAAGAATCTCCGATCGTATCTTTTCTCTCATTGCATTCTTTTCGGTTTAGGATCCATATGAATAATGCAAATGTTGTGGGTTCTAGACCATTTATTGCATGTATTCTTGTGGAATTGAACATTTCTAAGTCTCATCCCAATTCGATTTGGCTTTGACCTGAGAAATTTAGGTATGTTCAAATGGTATTTGCTCTCATTACAAATCTATGGGTCATAGAAACTCTGAAAGTATTAATTTGCATCCTTGTTTGATGAAGGCTGACGTTTATGTTCGGTCGGTTGTGTCAGCTAGGGACTTGGCTTTAAAAGATCGAGAATTGGATATTGCAGGTGAGAAATGGTTGTTTCTGAGTTTTGCATTGCTTCTCATGTTTCAACATTGCATGACCATGTGGAAAATTTAAACACTAAGCTTTGCAACATTAAGATGGTGATTCTGGTCCCTCTGTGATGCCGATTTTGTTGGGTCTGGTTGCTTTAACGGTTCAGATGGATGATTTCCACAATGAATATATGGTAAACTTGCCTGACAATCAATATGCTTCCCCTTAAATTAATTTACATTGTGTTGCTCAAGAGGATTGTCAGACATGGTGTTGATATTAGCTTGTCCTTAATTCATGTTTCTTCTCCTCAGCATGATTCCCTTGTTCTTGTTGAGAAGGCTATTATGGGTACTCTTGATAATTTAGATGATGCTAATGTGGGAGTTTGTGATGTTAACAATTAAGGTCGATTTGGCTGATTCTTCTTGTGGTTTGGTGTCCCTATCTATTAACTCTGTTTCGGATGATGCTATTGGATCACCTATCGTTAATAATCAAAACATGCATTTTATTGAGTTTCTTATTTCTCTTATGTCTTCTAAATCTTTGTAAGCTCAATTGGCTTTAAATGTAGATGACGTTTGTGTTGATCATTCTGATTGGATTGATGGTCTGTTTCGCCTTGCAGGAGTGTTGGGAAAATTTGGGTAGTGCTATTGATGAGTTTAATGAGATGTGAAATTTATTTGTTGGGCACATCGTTCATAAAGCATTATATCGTGCGGGGGGCAAAAGGCGTGGGAGAAAAATCTAAGAGGTAGTTTTTGGGCGGTGTTTGAAATTTATGTATGTAATGTGTTTATGAATTTATTTTAATTGACTTAAATATCCCAAAAAAATTGAAAACATTTATTTAAATGGCAAAAAATTATGAGTCTTCCAGCCTTAGTCAAAAGTGATAAGGCAATGAAATAGCATTCCTAAAGGGGTCCCATGAAGTTTCCACTTGTGGTTGAAAAAGGAGTCGCCCTGGTCCCTTCATTGTATATTTCCCTTCTACATGAATTTGGCGAGGGACTGTTTGGGATTATTTTTTTTTTAATATTTTTTATTTTATGTGTTTTTTAATTAATATTAATTTTTAACTAAAATATAAATTTAATTTTTTTTATAATATTTAAAATTGATATATCATAAAAAATTATCTTGATAGGACACAAATCTCAAGGCAAAAATCAAGCCGAAAACTTCAAAAATTAAATCTGAAATCATCTGAACTTCGATTTCAGCAAACTTATAATCGAACTAAGTGTCTCGGAAATTCGAACTCAACAACACAAAATTCAACTTAATCCGAGCCCAAATGAGTTTCAATCAAAGACTTGAAATGCTGTTGGAAGGTTCAAACTACAATTTGTATTATCAAACGGTTTCCAAACATGACATGCTTATAATCAAATCGAGCGGATCGACGAGACAAATCCAACGAGCCCAAGATTGTCGAATTCCAATGTCATTAAGACCTTCAAATATCTAAAAAATGGTCCACGATCAAGGGATTCAATATCGGTTGTCCATCCATACCAATCCACATTTGCCCTTTCAAGATCTAACTTGGAAGAATTATTCAATCAATCATTTAAATCAATCTTCTACCAAGGCTATCTATAATAATCAATTAGTGATAAACTATCTAATAAAATCTATAATTTAAAACATCATATAAACATTCTATTCATTCTCAAAAGTTCATTTACAATATTCAGGATTTACACAATAATCACGATTCCATCCAGTCCTGAGTACAAAAGAATAACTATAACAAAAAGGAACAAAAACTTGAAGAACTCAGATCAACCTCACACTCCTGCTCCCTTTCCCTGACCTGAAATTATTAACCACATATAATGAGCTTCAAAAAGCCCAGCAGGTCACCAAAAACTTACAACTGAAGTCAAAGCACGGTACAAAAATAATATACATATCAATCAGTCAAATCAATAACATTCACTTGCACATGATCATTGAATCTATGCAGATACAAAAATCAGTAATCAATACATAATCAATAAAATCTACAGTCATCGGTAGGAGAATCGATAAACAATTAAAAACCCATAATGCTCAATAAATTAGTACATATGTCAATTCCATCATATCTTAAAACAACGGTCAAATCCATAGAAAAAATCATCGTATCAGTATTATCAATCAAATCAATATCGTATCAATAACATCAATCAATCGTATCAATAGGATCAATCAAATCATTAAATATATAAATCATCCCCAATCAATAATATCAATCGGTATAAAATCATATAAAACAATCAAATTAATACAAAGAACAGTTGAAATAAAATCAATATAATAAAAGCATATTCTATATCACATGTAGCAGATAAATATTCGGTGTATCAATGAATCAATGAATACATAATATTGATGAATCAATAATATCAGTATCCGTAGTATTAACAAATCAATGCAATATCAATATCCCTATCAGTATCTGTATCCAGTGATATATACAGTATGCAATATCAATAAAATTCATGCAGTAACAGTAAACCTATAAATCCGTCAGTAATTCCGTTCAATATCAATAAATCGATCGATATCCATAAATTTGTACGGTAATTAATAAATCAATAGGTAACAATAGATCAATTCAATATCAGTAAATCCATAGGGTAATCATAAGAACAATACATTAAACATCCAATTCAATATAATAGTCTTACTTAACAAGTGCAATCACTGATTATTAAGGCATTTTTTAGTCTTGTAATATCGATGTATCGTTGTATCCGTTGGCTCAATAATAGTGTCGTCACTCTTCTCCCGTCGGCATATTCTCCTTATGACTCCCAATCGTTATATCACGTGATCAATAGAGGATAACACCAAAACCTTTTTAAAGGAAAGCCCGTCGGCCCACTATCCTAAACAGGTCAATCAATCTCCAACCAACGGTTCAACCAGTCTTTACTTGTTTTTCAGTAATATAACAGTATTTCAATCATATATCCACATTCGTATACATCTCATTAATACATTGTAATCAACAAACACAATTTAACTCAATTGAAGAAAATCATTAAAATATCGTACAATCGACAGAAATCCCAAATATGATCAAAATACACAGTTTCAGAAAATTACCAAATTATCAAGAATCAAATAAAACATCATTTCAAGACTTTACTTGTATTGAAGTAATATTTTTTGACATCCGGATAATTTACTATTCGATAAAAATCTCGCAGAATTCAAAATACCCAGTGAAAACTTTTCAGAAAATACTCAAATCGTGCAAAATCATTATTTCAACAACATACCAAAAGTTACGCGATAAAAGTTTTACCGGTGCAAAGATATGTAAGAATTTCGGTAACGGAAACACAAAACTGAGCAGAAAAATATCAAAACTCGAAATCTTCGAAATCAGAAATAGGATTCAGATTCCTTACTGCGAGACAAACAATTCTTTCAA